GGGAAGGGAAGGGAAGGGAAGGGAAGGGAAGGGAAGGAAGGAAGGAAGGAAGGAAGGAAGGAAGGAAGGAAGGAAGGAAGGAAGGAAGGAGGGAAGGATTGGGATATGCATATAACCTAAGCAGTGGACAAAGGTCTTCCATGGACCAAGTTCAAACATGAACTTAAGGTGTCCGAGCCTCTGAACAGACAGACACAGGCTCCATACAGAACAAGTCCCCAAGGTGCTGGAGAATGCCTGTCTTCATGGTCAGAGGACAGTCAAAGTGGGTTGAACACAGATCCCAGGGTCACTTTGGAGGTTCAGGAGAGTAAGGAGGAAGACTAGACCAGGTTGGGAGTCTGTGGAGGCGTTTGCCCAGGAGAAGTGGGGTAAGGGATCCAGACACAGGGCCTGAGACGCACCTGGGGCTTGCCGTGGTGGCTTGCGAAGGGCGTACCCCCATTTCCCCCTTCCTCCTCTGTCTTTTCCTGATCCTTTGACTGTCACCCAGGACCCTGTCCTCTTGGGACGTGGATGCAGCTCTGAGAGGGGGCTGAGGGATAGAGCCTCTTAGGTCCGTTCACCTGACCACCAGGGTCCCCCGCTAAGCCCCGCTCCATGTCCCTGCTCTGACCGCTGCCCCCACTGCCCTGGGTTGGAACAACGGGCCTCGAGATTCTTTCAAAAACATTTCCTTTGCAAAATAATCCTCCCAAATATGTTTTTGGAAACTGAACAGGAAGATGTTAATTAAGGTCCCTCCCCAGAGGGGGTGCAGGGAGGAAGCGTGGGGGTCAGACACCAGAGCGGGGGCCAAGTTGGCTCCGGAGGACCCGGTCCACACCCAGCCCCACAGCCCTCGCACAGGCCAGCCCCTCCATCCTCGAGTGACCGATGAAGGACTCATGTTCTTAGCCCATAGCAGGACACAGAGGCCAGGAAAGGGCAGTGTATGGCCAAGGTCACAGGTTAGAGGCAGGGCTGGGTGAAGAGTTATCTGCAGCCACACAGAGTTTGTGTTCACAGAAAGGCGTTTGCACACATGTGTCCTTGTGTTTGTGCCACGGGAAGCAGGGGCTGGGCGGGGAGACCCTGGGGTCTTCAGGGCTTGTTTGTCGAGAGGTGAGCCTGAAGACTTGGCTTCCTCACGTGGCTGGTTCAGCCTCCACCCTCTGACCGTGGCTGCACCAGGAAGAAGTTGGAAGACTGTTTTCTGCTAGGAGACCCCAACCGCTTTCCACACAAGGGCTTTCTGGGTTCTCTGTGGTCCTGAAGAAAGTTTTATCGGACTTCTTCGTTTTAAAATTATTTTAAAGATTTATTTATTTGCTTACTTTATGTGTTATGAGCACAGGTGTTTTACTTGTGTGTGTGTGTGTGTGTGTGTGTGTGTGTGCGCGCGCGCGCGCGTGTGTGTGTGTGTGTGTGTGTGTGTGTGTGTGTGTGTGTGTACCAGAGGCATGCCTGATGTGCACACAGGCCAGAAGAGAGCATCAGGTCCTCTGGAACTGGAGTTATAGATGATTGTGAGGCACTGTGTGGGTACTGGGAATTGAACCCTGGTCCTCTGCAAGAGCAACCAAAGCTCTGAACCACTGAGCCACCTTTCCAGATCCCTATCCAGGTGTTTCTTTTTTAAAAAATAAAGATTTATTTATTTATTATGTATACAGTGTTCTGCCTGCATGTATGCCTGCAGGCCAGAAGAGGGCATCAGATCTCATTGTAGATGGTTTTGAGCCACCACGTGGTTGCTGGGAATTGAACTCAGGACCTTTAGAAAAGCATCCAGTGTTCTTAACCTCTGAGCCATCTCTTCAGCCCTATCCAGGTGTTTCTATCTCAATGACTTCATGTTCATGCTCTGGGTCACACTGTTTCGAACTCCTAGAAATTGAGGTTTTTTTTTTTTTTTTTTTTTTTTTAGAAGTTTGGTGTTTCTAAGTCTTGACTTCTTCTGAGTCATCTAGCCAGGGATGCCATCTCCCAGCCTACAGCAGCAGGCTTCATCTGAATGTACCGACAGGGGTCATCCATCCATCCATCCATCTTTCTGACCATTTCTGCATTTATCCATCTGTTCTATTGTTGTGATAAACACCATGACCAAAAGCAGCTTGGGTAGTGTGGTGGTTTGAAAGAAAATGGCCCCCATAAGGAGTGGCACTCTTAGGAGGTGTGGAGTAGGCGTGACCTTGTTGGAATAGGTGTGGCCTTGCTGGAGGAAGTGCGTCACTGTGTGTGTGTGGGTGGGTGCTTTGAGCTCTCCTATGCTCAAGCTATGTACACCCAGTGTGGGACACAAACTCCTTCTTGTCACCTGTGGATCAAGATGTAGAACTCTCAGCTCCTTTTCCAGCACCATGTCTCCCTGTGCGCCACCCACCACGATGATAATGGACTAAACCTCTGGATTGGAAACTAGCCCCAATTAATTTTTTTCCCTTATAAGAGTTGCCCTGGGAGCCAGGCAGTAGTGGCGCACACCTTTAATCCCAGCACTTGGGAGGCAGAGGCAGGCAGATCTCTCTGTGAGTTCGAGGCCAGCCTGCTCTACAAAGGGAGTTCCAGGACAGACTCCAAAGCTACACAGAGAAACCCTATCTCGAAAAACAAAACAAAACAAGAGTTGCCTTGGTCATGGTGTTTCTTTGCAGCAATAGAAGCCCTAAGAAAGGTAGGAAAGAGTTTATAGCAGAATTCAGGCTGCAGTCCATCAGTGAGAGAAACCAAGGCAGGAACTCAAGGCAGGAGCTTGAAGGAGAAACTGAAACAGAGCCCAAAGAGGAGTGCTGATAACTGGATTTTTTATTCCCAGGGCCACGCTCAGGGACCTTTGTTACCATTGGTACCATTCACAGTAGGCCGGTAACTTCTACATCAAGAAAATGCCAGACATGTTCATGGGCCAATCTGATGCAAGCATTTGAATGAGGGTCCTTCTTCCCAGATGTACCAAGTTGACAGCCAAGATTAGCCATCATATCATTCATCCACCCATGCACACTTCCATGTATCCCTCTACCCATCTATTCCTCTATCCCACCCACCCACTCTGTCCACCCACTCAACCATGTGTCCTTCCATCTATCACCTGACCCATGACTGCAGCCATCCATCCATCCATCCATCCATCCATCCATCCATCCATCCATCTATCCATCATCCATCCAAACATGCATTCATCCATCTGTCCGTCCGTCTGTCCATCCATCCATCCATCCATCCATCCATCCATCCATCCAAACATCCATCCATCCATCCACCCATCCATCCCTCTGTCCATCCTTTGCCTATCTGTCTCTCTTTTTACTCATGTAGACAGGATGCTGAGTGGGAACAATCATAGAATTATGGCGGATGTGGGAGAAGACAGGATAGGCTGAAGCCTCCCATCCCCTAGTTCGCTCCTCCTCTGGTCACAGCTCCTTCCTGGACTATGGACACATACTCTAGGGATCAGTGGTTTCCTCCTTCCTGTTCAGAGAAGGCCCTCTTAGAGGGGGAACTGAGGCTGTGACTGACATCCCTGTGACCAACATGGGTCTCCAGAAGCCTGTGAGTACTGTCCTGACCCAGTGACAATACTCACAGTGCAATGCCTGCCTGTTTCAGGACAAGTGAGTATGAGGGCCTGTCACTATTGTGAACTCAGGGAAGGTGCCAGCCTTGGGTTCAAAGAGAGGACGTGGGAAAGGGCCCTTGAAGAGCCTTGGCAAGGTACCACAGGGCATCTTAATGGAGGACTATCTATCAACCTGGCTCTAGACACAGCCTACAAAAGAGAAACGGACCAGCAAGCCCTCCCCAGTGGATGGTTCATTTCTGAGCAAAGATGCCCCTAGTCCTCCAGCCCTGAACTCCGTGGCCCCTAGCCTGAGGACAGGACTCTGATATATTTTACCTTCTTCTATGACCCCGTCTGCCCCTCCTCATCCATGCCCCGCTGTCCGACTCCTTCTGTGGCTCCTCGTCTCTGTCCCTCTGTTCCTGTCACTTCTGTCTTCACGTCTCTCCAGCCCTCCCCACTACCTTCTCTTCTTCATCCGGGGCGCCCAGAGCCCTCTGAGACTCCACTCTGCAGATGTTCTGCCTTGATCTGCGATGGCTGGGCTTCCTGCCTCCTGCCCAGCCTCGAGCTCCACTAGGCACTCCAGCTCCAATGGCCTTTTGGACACTACGAGTGAGCCAGTCCACTCACGCCATGTCCCTGCTGTCCCTAAGACCTTCCCGTCTGCCTGCCTGGAGTGCTGAGGTGTGGTCAGGGCCTGCGCCCCAGCGTCCTCCAGGTCAGGGGCAGGCAGGCGTTCAGGGGATGGGGTGGGGTTAAGAGCAGGTGACTGCATAGAGGGGCTAGGGTGAGACATCTCAGACGGTAAGTGGAGAGAAATTCCCTTCCCTGACCCTTGCTGGCCAGTGACTGCCATTGTCCCCAAAGCTCGTCCTGATCTTACTGGATGACTCAGTGTCCCATATGACCTTTAGCTATACAGACCATTGAGACCATGTGGAGTCCCAGCATGCGCCCTTCAAGGGTGGCAGGAAGGAAAGTGACTGCCTTGAGGGCCAGAGCAGGAAGAGAAGTGGGCTATGCCACAGCCACCCAGAGATCAACACTGTAGATAGTAGCTCAGAGCTCCGGGTCAGCCCAGTCACCCTGCCATTTCCTGCCCCTGCCCGGCACCCTCCCCTGGGCTCACTCTGTATCAGGACCCAGACAGGTCTGCAGCGGACTGGATGAAGGCAGAGAGGCAGGCTGTGAGCAGCCACAGACAGGGACCTTCGGCAGCTTGACCCAGGACCCAGTGTTCCTCTCCCACATGTGTGGAGACTGCAGCTGTTCCCCGACAAGGCCTTAGTGTCTCTTGGGCTTGGCCAGCCCTGGGTCTACAAAGCTCCTAGGCA